TTATATATCCATTATAAGTGTACGTGCCTTTATCCGAAAAGTTTCAAAATAAAGGTCGGTGTTTATTTGCTTGCAACGTAGTTCCTCGTAATTGTTGGAGATTGAAGTATTGTATGATACGGGTAATCTGACATTCCATGGGAAAAGAAAAACATACCGACTTTACGGGCTTTTCAAGTAAGCTGGTTTTAAGTGATTAAAATATGCAGGGAATCTTTTTTAGCTGTTCAAGTTCATCTGAATTTAAGGGACTATATTTTTCCCATTACAACGATGATTGTCTCTCTCTGATGAACTTTACAGAGATTCGAATCAGCCTACTGCTAGTCATCCCCCCATCGATGTGAAATTTCAACAAAGGTGGCCGAAGAGCTCTCCGATTCATGATTTTCGGTAGGAAAACTGATTTGAATTGCAAATAATTTTGACACATTAATATTCATAATATGAGATTGGTCTTGCACGTGGAGAGACCTTACTAGTTGTAAGAAATGTCAGCGTATTTTTCAGGTTCTCGGGGGCCAGGAAAAGCCTTGTTCCAACCCAAATACCTTGGATATCGTCTGTAAAGGCGTGAGAGTGTTTCTTAGAGGTTACTGAAGCAAGTGGTTTGAATTCGAAGACGAAGAAGGCTAAGTATGAATGGATGTCATTTAAGTCACGACTCTTTTCAAGGTAAACAACGTACGAATATGTATTTATACGTTTTTTGTATAGAAATGCAGTATTTGTGTTTCAGGTTGTTGCTCTAGTAGAATTTATCGTATGAGTTTAATGTAAAAAGGAAAAGCATGTTATACAAAGTTCAGTGTGAGACAATTCTTATGTAGTAGCCGCCATGACAGTTCTTGATGAACCACGTGACTTTTAGGGCAACAATAGGAAATACGTACTTAATTCATGATGAACTGATCGCCTAATGACTCACTTATCTTTACTTTTATACTTATTACTCTGTACACAGTTACTATTATATTGGTATTTTAAAGTTAAATTTGTTTCAACGCGCTGTTATTTTCCCTACTTCCAATCCCCACTAGAAAAGAGAATGCCAAGTCGTCTGAAATGATAGAATTCGTATCCGTTTTTAGGTCTTGTGATCATGGTTATGGTACATTGAAATTGTTCATCGAAAATGCGGTGATGGCTCCGATTGAGTCTTTCAATCCCGACATTGATCCTCATCAATCACCCAAAAAGCACTTACCATAGTATAAGCATGCACGTTTTTACAATACAAATTTCTGCTTTTTCTCTCATCAGTAACAGCGTCGGGCATAAGATGAGGTTATCACTAGATCAAGAAATTCAAGCGAGGAAAGGAAACAAGACAACTTCCAAAAATGTGAGTTATTTGCTTGTTTGATTGTTTTTATTGTCTGTAATATACGCTTTAACCTGGATTTAACAAATGTCTGAAATTCAAAAACTACCAAGAGTAAAAAATTTAGGAAAAGCTACAAACAGAGAAATGATTTCGACTGTTTTCTTTAATGTTTTATTCCGGTGAATATCTCTTTGATCAAGGTGATTTTCAGTCGTTTACAGCACTTTTAAGTTGATGAATCAATTATCACTTTTGATGATAAAATACTGTAGTCACAAAACAAATCTGGTAATTGTTTAGCACTTGAAGCTGAAACCGGCCTAATTCAACTCGTCTCAAAGTCGATACTTTCTTACCTCTGTCTACAGTTGCTCTAAGGTCGCTGAATAGTTTGAGTTTTCTTTTCAAAATTTGATCTTTTGTACTTCATTCGATAAAAACCTTGAAGTGTGATTGTCTAATGCTATAGAATTGGTATTTCTCAATAGTTTTTTTCCCCAAATTCTATTATAAACCCCTGATAAATTTGATAGGTTTTTTTTTTTTGACAAACTTAGGAATTTTTTACCTCGTTCGAAGTTTGAAGTTTAAGTGTCAAGTGATCAGCCCTTGCCGCTAAAACCAAATGCAAATAGGATGCTCCAAAAGAGGATACTTTTTTCGCCGATAGTCATTTAATGTTTTCGTGAAAGCGAAAACCCAAAAGCCGTAGCGTTGATTAGACTTATTGCGTTTTCGATGTGGCTTTTATTCAAGGGAAGTGTCTATTTTTAAAACCTATTTGATGAAACACTGACTTCAGTTAGGGCAAATCATATTTTAGATATTTTGTGACCAGATATTTTTTTTAATTCCACCGTTTTCCTTTTTAGTGTAAATTTTTTTCCAAGGATAGTGAAGTTTACCATGTTGTGCCACACTTGATATTTTCTTTTCATTAATTTTCAAATGAGAGCTGCATTCTTCTATTCAAGGGCAAAATTGTTTATTACGATTAGGTTTGGTGGTGGCGCCTATGTCGTGGTTCGATTTTGTCCTTGGTTCAAATTTTACTTTCTTTTTTTTTTTTGGGTATTGTAATGTATGGTAATGATTTTGAATCAAAGGAAAATAAAATTTGAACCAGGGATAAAATTGAACCACAGAACCTATTCACCGTGAACTGTGAACTGTATCCTTTCACCTTTCACCTTTCACCTTGATCAGCTTTCGGTAGCCTGATATTGAATTGCGTCATCCAGCGACGGTTTGACAAAATAAATGTCATTTTATTGTCATTGAATTTTCACGTTCAGCGATTTGCACTTATAGGCTTGCGAAAATTATAGGATTCTTTGACCTTTGGTATGATCATTCTGTTATCTTTTTTTCATCCCAAGTATGAGTAAAAGCACATTGCATGTCACTTGAAATATTTACACAGACCAAAGAAGTGAACGGAAATATAATGATACAACTCATTTCTTACTGCAATGAATCACATTCCTGCATGATGATCTTAGAGGAATTGCAAGCGAACATTTAAATATGTTGCTTGAATGCAAGTGTTCACTCAGATAGAAAATACTCAATCTTCCAATACCTGAAAAAAATTATTAGAAAGGCAAGATTGTAACTTAATTTCAATACTTTTGAGAACGTAATAAATTTATCGAGAAATCCAGATTACGTCCACGTTCCTTTATAGAGCGACTTAGTCCTATAGGATTTAATAACAGATTTATTCTCGTTTTACATCGCGAAATAGTTTTAACGTTGGTTCATCTATTAACGACTCAAACTCAAAAATCGCGGCTTGAAAACAAGGTGTAAGGTCTGTTGTATTTGTTGATGTATCGTTTCATTCAATTTTCACGCAGATTGACTGATGCACGAATCAAACAAGAAAGGCTGTTACACAAAGACAAGATTTATTCAGAGGTATAAAACAGGTGCAGCCCATTGCCACCCCGAATACCGCCAACAAGAGCCAAGAGACATTTAAAAAAATCGACGACTTGAAGCCAAGCGTAAGCAAATGTTATTTTGCCATTTTATTGAAATCCAAAATTTTTTGCCAACGTAATGCTCATGGCCATGGGCTGTTTAATACTTTTATTTTTTCCCGCCAAAAAACTTAGAAAAATACGTGTGCCTATACTACGCATGCGCCATTTTTTTTATTTAGTCTGTAAGTAAGATCTGTTCAAATATGGCGAATTTTCCCGCCAAAAGACTTATAAAAAATATGGCGCCCAAAATACGCATGCGCCAATTTTTTTTTCTAAGTTTGTATTTTTCAAGTAAAGTTCAGGTAATAAACTTCATCTTTATTTCCTTGTTGTCTTCATTTTCAGTATTATCATCTACTATAAGTTGATAAAGAGATCAGTTTTATTGTGTTTCACTCAAAAAGCCACAAGTTTCAAATACCACAAAGAATTTATTTGCTTGTTTAAATTCTCTTTAATAATCAGTTAAATTAATAAATAGGATGTTACGAAAAAGTTTTGTTATATATACTAAGACTTTTGGCGGGAAAATTTGGGCCGATTTGCACAGAGTTTCCCCTGGCAACATTTTCGGCAAAAATTTTAACAAGACTTCATAAAAAATTTTCCACCAAGTAGACATTAAACAGCACCTCATGCAAAAAAAATTGAAAAGTAAAGGTCAATTTATCCTCTCTTGGAAAATAAATAAAAAAAGGTCTAGCACGTTTCGTTTCTTTCAAAAGATATTCTGACTCGACTATGTTTATCCCTAAGCGGTTTTTTTGTTGTTGTTTTTTTTGCACGAGATGATGTGTGTATGGCAAGCTATAGAGAGCGCTGGAGCCCAATCAGAAAAATTAAAGATTTCAAAATTTTGATGATTCGTAACTTCAATTTTTAAACCGATTTGTTGAAGTCCATAGCTTGCCACGATGTTTTCGTAGAGAAATTGATCTTTAGAGCCACCAGTTTTCGAATGTAACACTGGACACAGGCTGTAAAAGGACCAACAAGGTTTATCCAAAATGTTGAACTAGATTTCCGAAGTAATTTGAAAAAAAAATTGTATAATAACGGTTGGAGCACATCCTTCAAATTTAAATTACCGGCAATAGCTCACACACTCCACGATTAGGCTCAAAATTTCTTAACTCAATTCGCGAAGCACTTTGAGAAATTATACTTTGAGCAATCTCTTTGAATTTGATTGTAGCCGTGAGGGCTTAGACAAAATACAATTAGGCCCGAAGTTTCTCATACCAAATTCAAAAAGTAATGTGACAAATGAAATGGTATTAATCAATTTATTTTAGCCACAAGCGCCAAGACATACGATATAAACTGAATTTTAAGACAAAACCAAAAGTGTTTGATCTTTTTTCTGTGTTCCTGTGTTACACCGAGCGAGTGCCCATAAGATCTTTCAACCATTTCTAATAAGGTGTAAATAAATTAACTACTAAACTATTTTAAAACCGAATGCCTGGTCTGAACAGCAGAAGATGATTTTATATTTCAAGTGCAACTTAATTTGCAAGTTTAACTTGATGACCTAACAGTTCCTTTGAAGAACCAATTGTATGTAGACCAGTTAAAAGTCAATACGAATTTTAAAAATTACTAGCTTTTCAACGCAAGGACGCTTTAACTTCGCGAATTTTGGTTCGCACTTCGGTTTGTTAAAATCAACGTGCATTCTGCACAAATTTTAGTATCATTATAAGAATATATACCTTCATTTGCTCCTAATTTCTTAAATTTCCATGTTATTTTTCTATATTATGTCAAAACATTCAACAAGAAAACAGAACATAACTCATTTGGTTTGACAAACTATTGAGTTATTCAATTTTGATTCATTTACATTTGATTCGCAAGTTTTCGGAAAAAAGGTGCCTTACCAAAATTTCACACCGTTGTGAAAGAAAAGAATACCAGGAGACTTTAATGCTCCATCATAGAAATTACCACTTGCCATTTAAATTTTTGAATTCTTGTGTATTAGCCAAAAGCTGCGTCGATTTAGTTTAAACCGGCTTTAAATGATTTGCCTAGTGATTTTCTTTCGTCTTCTCCAGCGCATAAAATCTACTAGAAATGTAGAACTCTTGTTTTTGCAAAATTTTTGCTGGTTTATATATTTACAATCGGTTTTCAGAAAAAGCTCTTGACCAGGCATTCGAGTCTTAGACGTAACTTCTGCACTAGACATGCTCAATTGATTGCACAAAGGAGTGGATATAAGATATTATGTGGCACTATTTCCTACATGAATGACATACAAATGCAACTTTTTAGAACGAATTAAAGTTCTTAAATTTAGTTCATGTAGAGAATGAATGTGCGGTTAAAAATTATCGTTGTTAGCCGATGTTTGTCGAAATTAGTTGACTGGCCTGAGCTGAGTCAAATGACGAGTGATTATGGGTCAATTAGTACAGCTTTCGTTCGTAAAAGTGTGAACTCGGTCAACTCGGGTAAAATAATAGCTGTCAGACTAAATTGGCGTTGGTCCGTTGATCAATCGATAAGGTTGGTTTATTCCATTGGTTACTTTGTGGGATTTGAAGTCGTTTGTAAGGTGCTGGCAGTTGTCATCTGTAGGAGTCTTTTTAAGCTAGTTAACAAGCTTGATTATCAAAGTCAGTCGTTGAAAATAGGGGAATAAAGGTTTTGACATCGAGCAACATGCCAGTCAATAGTGTGGTTTGTGAGTCAGTGCTGTTCATCAATACGATTTTTGAAATGAAAAAAAACAGCTGGGATGAATTCAACTCTTCAAAAAGATTTAGTTTGAAATTCTAGAAGTCTTTTGTTAGAGTGCCACCTTAACAAATGTCCCCTTTGTGCAACATCAACTGAGGTATACTTATGATACAAACTGTTAAGCAAACGAAAATTGAGCGATTGGTAGTTCAAAATCAAAGATTTCAGTTGCAGCTTTCTGTAGCCAGGTATAAATAAATGTCCAGATGTTACTTTGGTTATTTCGTTAAAATGAAATCGTCTGAGATAAATTGCTCAAGTTGTCGCCAGTAGTTTAATTTAATCATACTATCGCTCAGGGTCTACAAAACAATCCCTATCCAAAAATAGTGGCTAATTGAAAACTATTCACTTACCAGGTATCCAGTTCTATCCATTCCCTGACTCTAAATGAAAGAATGAAGTCTTCGTACGATAATAAGACGAGGAGAGCCACTATTTTTGCTACTTTTACTCAATAATTTCAAAATTCTTATCTTTGCAGTATCCAATACTAATTCAGTCATCCTAGTGTGTCCTTTTGACCAGAATCTTTGTCCTTCTATCCTTTTGACAACTTTGCTTCTCCTGAAAATATGAATAATGAATATAATGAGGGAATGCTTATCGTCACTGGACGAAGTCGCTTAATCTCGAGACCTTAAAATTTAAGTTCCATAATTTCTCCGCACTAAAGCACAATTATAGAGGAAAAGAAAAACAACAAAACTTTTCGAAATATAACGTTGAATGAAGCAAATTTATCTAGTGTCTTGGGTTATTTATGCTGAATAGTTTTCACATATCCACATGGCCATCTTCAACTTCAAAATTTCCTCCCCGAAATCTTTTTTTCATTGATTCACCAAAAGATAGCCATGAATTTCTCTAGAAATATTTTACAATCATAGTTACTGCTTTCTCGAAGCAAACACCCTAATTCAATCGGACTTCGAATCGAAGAGCCGCTCAGACGAAGCAATTGACTTGTGTTTAGTTGTTTCAACGAGATACGACAAATTTAGGTCTCTGAAAGAATTTGAAACAATATTTTCATAAAGAAATACTCACTTAGTTTTTTTAGTAAATCCAGAGTGCTTCTGACTATCTTTTGTAATGGCCCAAAGTCGTTTGCTTTTCAGAGTGTAACTCTATGTTACTACTTCGAAAGTTTCGTCTACACTCTTCCACGTGCACGGACAGCGTGGTTTACTGAAAACTCTACAATTCCTGATGAATATGGATCAGCATCTTCAGCCAATGATTGACTGATGCGTCACTGATCTGGTGCAAAAGAACGTGAGGCTTTGTGTGAGATTAATTTGCATGCGAGAAGTAGGGAAAAAATTATCATTAATCGCACTGTAGAGAGTATTCTAAAGTATTACGCGAAACTATGGCGAAAATAATGTTTAACTATGGCACTATTGCTTTGTTTTTAAAAAAAGTATGGAATTTTACAGAAATCCTTCCCTTATTTCAAAAGAATAAAAAGCTGACAAGAAAATCGAAAAAGAAACATCATAGTATATGAGGACATCAAAGACGGATTATTAGCAAGGAGACAAAATATGATGAGAAAACCGAAAAAGAAACAAAAATGACAAGATTCCCCGCGCCAGGGTTTGAACCCTGACCACGGACCGCAACATGGTGCGGTTAAATGCTCTACCTACTGAGCTGCGTGGAACTTGTCAACATCGCAGGCTGAATTTTAAAGTCATGTTTTAGGTGTCCTACGCACTGCAAAGATCAAGCCTTGAAACATATGCGCTATTCCATAGGACGAAAAGAATCTCCTTTGCAATGGTTTGCAATTGATCCAATTAGTAAGAAGAAACCTCCCCTCTTAGACTTGCTGTTTCTTATAAGAAGCACCTGTCACCTTTTATTCTCTAAAAAAATTTGTGTACGAATGCATTACCTCTATTCTACTTCTTAAGCAAGAGCGTACAATCTATTCGATGATAAAAGATATGTGTCTCAGTATATGACGACATCAAAGACATATTATCGACAAGAAGAAAAATATGATGGAAAACCAAATAAGGAACAAAAATGACAAGATTCCCCGCGCCAGGATTTGAACCCTGACCACGGA